TGTTTGGATTATTTCGCTCGACGTATTACGTCTCTTGTTGTAGATTTTTAAGTATTAATTCCATCTAGTGTATAACTCTGTACTTGGATGATTATTCTGATCACTAGCCGCATGATCGACTTGTTACTTGGTTGATTCCCTTGGATTTATTATGATTATTCTATTCTAGTAGTAAATTATATTTAGATTATTAGTATTTCAGTTGCATGTTTCCATTGTTATTACCATCATTTGCATTGGTCGCACGACCATTCTATTCTTCCTTTTGGGATCTTGTCGTGCGCCATGCACCTGACGTACACCTGTTTTCTTTGGTGTACGTTAGACTTAGAAGAAGAACAGGTTCAGCTTGGAGATGCGCCAGAGTCGAGTATTCTCAGCAGGAGTGTCTTGTAGACGAAGCAGAAGAAGAGTTGAAGCTCAGTTATTCCTTTCAGTTTATTTTCGTAGCATTTTCTTTTCCGCCTGATCATTGTATTTTATATTCTCCAGTATTTCATTCAGATAGTTTGTATAAGGGCATGTTTGGCCCGAATATTATGTCTGGATGATCATTTCAGTTGTGATATGTATCTTTTGGTTCTGAGTTGTTTATTATATTCTCATTACTGTGATCGGGGACATGTGCCTTCGTTTGTATTTCTTGACGCTTAGCGTATTAGATTAAGAAGACGGGGTCAAGCACTTATCTCTTCTCAGTTTAATACGTCGCGGGCTTGCTCGCGTTCCGATTCTCTGGTATTTTGGGAAGCGGGGTGTGACATAATAAATATTCATGAATACTTTACAAAGGAGCACATCTTCAGTAACCGTGTATCCAGATGATCAAACAGGCATTTTTTTTGTAAAAAGCGGTTGGTTTGGAGATTAGAAATACTTTGAAGAAATACTTCAAATTGGGTGGTTTGAAGTAGAATTCGTGAATGTTATTTATAGCCAATCCATTTTTTTTTGTGAATTTGAATTTGTCGGTGGTCAGCATTTAAAATTGAATCGTTGTGTACAAACTGATCAGCTTTACACATTGTCCAATGTTGTCGGTGGGAATCATTATCTAAAATCAGCTCAGGTTTACACATTGTCCAACGTATACAGCTAAGCATTTATTGAATTGTGTGAAAGATCTATATGTAATGACCGTGAATTTTAATACTAGTTAAAATAATTTTTTGGTATTTTAAAATATTTAATTATTATTTTTAAACGAGTATCTGTATTTTTCTCGATTTTCTAGAATTTCTATGATTTAAAAAAAATAATTTTATATTTATTTTAAGAGTTTTGTTAATTATAAATTTAATTGATTACGGTAAAAAGAAAGCTTTTAAATTAATATTTTATTATTATTATTATTATTAATGTAAACCTGAATTTAGTATATTAGCATATATATAAATATGTATATATAAATATTTGGTTGTTAATATGTTGTTAATATTATTATTCATTTAATTATTACTACAATAATTATTCTTATGTATATGGTATCATATCTCCATAATCAAAATCTCTCTATTCTATATTTATTTCATTCCCTTATTTCTTTCATAATCACGTCCCATTATCCCTCTCTCATTTATTCACTCTCCTAATTTAATCCCTAAATCATTCCTCATCATTATAGCCAGCTCACACACATTCTCTCTCCAATCAATTCCTATATCTCTCTCTCTCTCTCTTGTTAGACTCACCGACGCCATCATCATCATCATCTCTTCGTCCTCTCCCTCACCCGAAAAACCCGTCGCCGACTCCTCTCCCGACCAGCCTTCGACGACCTCTGGCCACCGCAACCGAACTCGCCGCCTCCGACCGCCCTTCACCGCCAGTCACCCGCGACCCACCTCGTCGTTGCCCTCCTCGTGCTTAGTTCCGTCGCCTCTCAGATCTGAACCGCCATCCGCTGCATAGTCGTGATCCCCGTCAGCGTCGATCCGTTCGACATACCCGAGGCAAGATCCCGATCCTTGTTTAGTTTCGTTCCAATTTTTATATTTGTCGTAGATTATTTATGTGCAAGATCCCGCTTTCCCTTGGCTTGTTATTCCATTTTTTATATCCGTTATTAATTGATTGCGTAGATTAGACTGTGATATGATTAGCTATAGTGTATATTGTGATTACATGCGTGGGATTGCTTGACATGAATAGCTATGTGGAAGCTTGTTGTTTTATTACTTAGTTGTTATCCGATAGGAGAGACTGTACACGAAGACGACTTCTGTTAAAAGTATGATTTATAAGCGTGCTTCAAAGCATGTCTATACTCGCTCGACATCGATATCCCGATGTGAGGAGTCCCGAGTTCCCTCGATATCGATATCCCGATATGAGGTTTCCTTGATTATTATTATTATAGCATTGACTAGACGATGCACTCTTGATCGGACGTGTTGTGGGTCACGGTTATGTTCATAGTTTTACAGAAGTCGTTCCACGGTAACTCTGTGGCTAGTGCATAATATTTTATGTACAGTTGCTTAATTAATTTGATAACATGGGGTTATAAAGGGGGATTGGACGGAGAATATAGCATGTATATAAACGGGCACAGCGCTTTCTTGTTATCGTGATATCGTGAGTGTTATGTACATGGGCCAGAGGGCCAATACTTGACTTGAAGGCGGCCCCCGGACGACTTTACGGGGACCCAATTATATACATCAAAATATTCTTCCCCAATTCAAATAACATGTAAAACAAGAATAATATCCTTGCGTGCTTTATGGTGGACCTTGTTAGTTTTGTTGAGATGTAGATCAGTGTTGTTCTTTTCATACATAGATCGGGATTAATATTTAATTATCTGCAATTTGAGACATATGGTATATACATGAGGGTTTCCTTGTTTGGATTATTTCGCTCGACGTACTACGTCTCAAGTTATAGGTATTTAAGTATTAATTCCATCTAGTTGTGTGATTTGGATACTTGGATGATTACCCTGTTGGCTAGCTGCGTGATCTTGACACTTGGATAGTTTTCTTAGATTCTTCTGATGATTTTATTCCAGTGATAGATTGTATTCAGATTATTATTAATTCATTTGCACGTTATTATTATTATTATCACTGTTTTTGCTTTGATCATTCGACTGTTCCTATTTCTCCCTTGTGGGATCTTGTCGTGTGCCATACACGCTGACGTACACCTATTTTTCTCTGGTGTACGTCAGATTTAGGAGATGAACAGCCT